AGACGAAATAACGTTATAACATTTCGTTTCGTCTCGTTTTGGTCAACGAAAATGAAGAGACATTTTAGCATAGTTTTTATTTTATAAACCACATTTAGTCTCGTTTTTATTCGTCAACAATATTGCATTATACATTTAATTATAGTCATCGTCACATGACCAGCATTTACGTTGCGTCTCGTCTCGTTTTCGTCACGTGATAAAGGTTCGTTGATGACGATATTTAGTCATAATTTTCGTTGACGAAAGCAACACTACTCTAAACTCATTCTTCAGCCTGGAGATCAGAGCCCAGTGTGAATGTGGAAGGTTACTAGGAAAGCAACATTGGGTTTTGAATGGGTTTTTCAGTCATGCATTGAAAAGAAGCTACGAGTGAGAGTGCTTGCTAGATAGAGATGAGTGGAGGTGTGAGGTATTGTGGTGTGATGAACAGTTTAGAAGAGAGAATAAGAGAACATCAAATTTTACTTAGTAACACAAAGAGAAAAATATTGATGCAGTGGGATGTGATAAGACAAAAACAAATGAGGCAGGTCATGCGAAAAAAAAGCACTTATAAATAACATATTACAGCCTTTGGGAAATGGAGTTGTTCGGTCATTGGCACTTTGCATATGAATGACAGATTTGTGAAAAGAGGGAAAACATGATTGTATCAGTATGAATTATTCCATTGTAGTTGAATCGCATTTACACTGGAGATGACTGGAAAGAAGGGCCCTATCATACACCCGGCGCAAGGCGTGGCGCAAATGTTTTTGCTAGTTTCAGCCCAACGCAGTTCTCATTTTCCTGTCCTGCGCTGCATTGTTTAAATAGCAAATGCATTTGCGCCCATGGTCTAAAAAAAGAGGTGTGTTCAGGCGCATTGTTGGCGCGTTGCTATTTTGAGGAACTGAAAATAGACTGCGCCATAGACCAACTCAAACTTGGTCTAAAGTCTGGCGCAATATTTTTTTCTTTATTTAAAGAGCTCTTTAGTAATATGCGCCTATAGGCGGGTGCACAACGCGCGTACACTTTGCTTATTACACACACAGGGACGTGCAGCAGCACACAAACATTTTTAAAAATGAAAAATTACATTCCAGCGCAACTGGCTTTTAAAGGGGATGGGAGATGAGACTCTGATTGGTTTATTGCACGTTACGCCCAAAAAACACCCATTACTCATTAAGAGAATAGGGACAACCCATTTAGACCATGCGCCCGGGCGTGCCGACCGTTTTCCCGTCGTTAAACTAGCAAAATTGGATTCGGACATGCCCTGAGTGCTTTAAATAGCAAATGCATTTGCGCCCATGGGCGTGCTGGTCTAAAAAAGAGGTGTGTTCAGGCGCATTGTTGGCGCGATGCTATTTTGAGGAACTGAAAATAGACTGCGCCATAGACCAACTCAAACTTGGTCTAAAGTCTGGCGCAATATTTTTTTCTTTATTTAAAGAGCTCTTTAGTAATATGCGCCTATAGGCGGGTGCACAACGCGCGTACACT